TGATACAGATGAATTTCTCAGAGAATTGTCCAGTCTCTGCTTAGATAATACATGTCTAATTCTTAGCATATTGGAAGCCAAGTGGGAGGAAGGTTTGGGGAACCTCAACATTCAGTATATAAGTATTTTTCCTGTATGTCCATAATGTTTGTAATATATCCCAATACAGACTTCTTCTCTTACCCTTTCCATTGAATAAACCTCCAGTCCACTGCCCACGTGGTAGAGCTCAGGGGCTCTAATTTCTATGAAACATACTTTCCACCAGTCCTTCCCTGTGTAGTTTCATACTTGCCTCTTCTTCCAAAGATATCTGGTATTCTCAGTTCCTGAGCTTTTCCACAGTGGTTCCTTTTTCACTTTCCCTGAGCATTGCTGTAAGATTCTAGAGTTTGTTGAAATCAGTTACCACTAATCTCTTCTATTTTAGCACCCAAAATGTTGTTTCTCTTATTTTTCCTGTTTTCTTTGTACTGAGAGGTTTATGCCTTTTTAAAAAAGAAAATTCCCATTATGACCATTTTAGTGGATATATCAATCTACCCAGGCTAATGGAACAAAGTTCCATGGATTTAAATAGTAAGAATATATTTTCTTACAGCCTTGGGAGTCTGGAAGTCCAAGGACCAGCTGCCAGCATGGTTGGGTTCCAGAAAGGGCTCTTTTCCTGGCTTGTAGACTATCACCTTCTCACTGGGCTCACATGAAGGAGAAAAAGAGGGCAAGCCCTCTGGCATCTTTTCATAGAAGGAGACTATTCCCATAATGAAGGTCTTACCCTCCTGATGACATTTTACCCTAATTACTTGCCATAGGCCCCTCCTTTAAATGCCATCACATTGGAGTTTATGGCTTCACATATGAATTTTGGTCTATATCCATGGCATTTTAGGAAAGAAGAGAAATAAATACATATGTTCATCTTAACTGGAACCTATTCGCATATGTTGATGTAATAGCCATTAAAATGATTTCAGATTGAGGATTAAATCCCTTATTGAGAAGTAATACATTATATGAATTGATTATAGATTTTAAAGTGAGTTGGTTTTAATTATATTTGCAGTCCTTGAAACAAATCTAATGAATGGTGATAAAATGAAGTATGTGTCCCTGTTTTCTCCCTTTTCCAGTTAAAATGAAATTACATCTGCCTTTGTCTTTCCTGATCTCAGTTACTCTGCTGGAAGTGAAAATTTGGTATATAAGATTAGTATTTTATGCCTAGTTAGTTACTTTAAACAGATGATATAAAGGAAAATTTCTCTGTCACACATTGTCTCCAGGTTTTTCTTTTTGGGTGACATTCTAGATTAGAAAATAATTTCTAATAGTTTATTTTTCTACTTCTCTTTCTCTTTTTAAACACCCAATCTGCATGTCTGTAAAGAGAAATTTTGCTACAATAGAACTTTGTTTTCTTAACTTCTTTTATGATTTTATACTAACAGGGTTATTTTTAGGTGTTATCAAAGATATCTTAAATGGAGATGTCTTGGTGTAAATTATAGTAATAGTTACACAAATATTTTCTTAATTTTTATAATTATACTCATAGAGTGTTGCCAAAATAGTAGTATTCTATGCCCTTCACTCGCCTGTCTTTATTTTTTAACATATATTTCTATTTATTTATTTATTTATTTATTTAGATAGGTGCTGGGGATTGAACCCAGGGCCTTGTGCATGCAAGGCAAGCACTCTACCAACTGAGCTACATCCCCAACCCCTGTCTTTATTTTTGACATCCTACTATGGGGGATTTTTATTTCATTTTTTTTTTTAGTTGTAGACACACAGAATACCTTTATTTTATTTATTTGTTTTTATGTGGTGCTGAGGATCAAACCCAGTGCCTCATACATGCAAGGCAAATGCTCTACCAACTGAGCTACAACCCCAGCCCACTACTGGGGATTTTT